TGGGGTAGCAGCTGCACAAATACACTTATCCCTTGGCCCCTGTATATGCTACAGGCTTGGGGCCCCGCTGCACCAGCCTCCTCCTTTCCCCGGGCTGCCTGTGGCCCAGTGTCTGGGGCTGACAACGCCCCATTGCTCAATAAGGACAAATACCAAGTACACCACTTAGGAAGGAACATTCAGTTGCACAAACACAAAATGGGAACTGACTGCCTAGGAAGGAGCACTGCGGAAAGGGATCTGAGGGTCATGGTAGACCACAAGCTAAATATGAGTCAACAGTGTAAAAAACCCAAACATCATTCTGGGCTGTATTAGCAGGAGTGTTGTAAGCAAGACCCAAGAAGTAATCTCCGCTCTGCTCCAATTAGACCTAAACTAGAGTATTACATTACAATACAGGAGAGCCAGGGAGCAGTGGGAGAGTGCTAGAGGGGAAGGCTAATTAAGGTGTGCTTCCCTGTAGACTAGGAAGGTGGCTGCAGGTTAATTGGAGCACCTGCAGTCAATTAAGGCCCTGTTAGGAACTTAATAAAACCCCCTGCTCCAGGCAGGCAGGGGAGGAGAACTTGAATGTATGCTGTGAGACTTGGGGGGGGGGAATCAAAGAACTGAAGCAAGGGAGACCCTGCCCCAGCATCTAAGGACTGCAGGTACCCCACCCAAGGGGGAAGAGGGTAAGAACCTGCAGGGGTTAAGAGGGGTTGCCTCTCAGAGTGAGGCGCAAACCCAGACCCCTCCCCTGTTTCCCTCCTTTACCACCTTCCTGGGCCACTAGTGAGGCCATTGATGGCCCAAGAACAGGGGCAAGGGGTGGCATCTTAGCTCTCTGCCAAGAAAAGCGCAGGATTGCCCAGACTAACATTGGCTATCTTGTCACAGTGTCCAGTTCTGGGTGCCACATTTCAGGAAAGATGGGGACACACTGGAGAAAGTCTAGAACAGAGCAACAAAAATGATTAAAGGTCTAGAAAACATGAGCTATGAGGGAAGACTGAAAACATTGGGTTTGTATCTTCTGGAGAAGAGAAGACTGAGAGGGGACAGGATACCAGTTTTCAAGTATGTAAAAGGTTATAAGGAGGAGGGAGATAAATTGTTCTCATGAACCTCTGAGGATAGGACAAGAAGCAATGGGCTTAAATTGCAAGGGACATTAGGAAAAACTTTCTGTCAGGGTGGTTAAGCACTGGAATAAATTGCCTAGAGAGGTTGTGGAATCCCCGTCATTGGGGATTGTTAAGAGCAGGCTGGACAAACACCTATCAAGGATGGTCTAGACAATACTTCGTCCTGCCTGAGTGCAGGGGACTGGCGTAGATGACCTCTCGAGGTCCCTTCCAGTCCTGTGAAATATGATCGCTAACAGAATGGCTCATGCTGCTCGGGGTGGGGGGGGGAATGGGGCTCTCACATGGGGGTGTCGATGGAACATTTCAAACTGAACGGCAAAGGGGAAGGCAGCGCAGAGCTGGAGATGTGGGGAGAGGCGCAGGCAGTGTGGCTGGGGTGGGGTGCGTGGGACCGTGGTGGAGCCAGCGGGACCAAGGGGCATGTGGCTGGAGGGTGGGGCCATGGGGCACGTGGCGGGGTGGGCGGGGCTGTGATGGGGCAGGTGGGGCTGTGGCAGAGCAGCGTGTGGCTGAGGGGAGCGTGGCTGGGCTGGTGGAGCCTTGGGGGGCCGGGCGGGGCTGTGCCAGAGCAGGGTGTGGCTGGGTGGGCTCTGATGGGGTGAGAGCCATCTCACCCGCGTGCCATGTGGTGGGCTCAGCTCGGTGCCTCCTGGCGCTCCTTGCCAGCGGGCTAGATGAGCCACCCATGGCTGCAGCAGGAAGTCACCAGCTTCCCTAGCCGGGGCTTCTAGTGCCAACATCACCCTCTGCTGCAATTTCCTATGCTTGTGGTTTGCTTTCCGGGGCTGCGCTTGCTGGACACGCCAAGGGGTCCTGGGAAGGGCACAGCTTTTCCTTCCTCTGCTCACAGCCCCTGGGTTAAGCCAGGGAAGGGGACCAGGGTGGCCAGTCCATAGCAGGGCTGACCTGTCCAGTCCGAGCAGTCCTGGGGCTCCTGGATTGAGCGGCTGCCCGGCCTGCTCCCCCTCTGCTGCACCATGTCACCTCCTGGTGCAGAGTCCTGGCTTTGTGGCTTCCCTTGAACCCTCAGGCAAAGGCACCAGCTTCCTCCCCTTGCCCTCATGGGCCATGGTCTCGCTCTGCCATGCCTCCCCGCCCGAGAACCCGGAACCTCTCCGGGGAGTCTTAGGTCAGCGGGGTGGGGGCGGGACTGAATCACAGCCTGGGGGCAGGTCACCGCCAGCCGGGGCAGAGCTGGGGCCGGAGCTGAGGCCTCCGGACCCATCCTTCAACCTCTTCCCTCACAGCCAAGTGCTAGCGATGGCACCCCAGCGACCGCCGGGGCTGGTGCCTCTCTCAAGGGAAGGGGGTCGGTGCCCTGCGCCCGAATCAGGGCGCCAGGCGGCACGTGGAGCGGGCATTGTGATGGCACCCAAGGAATTGGGCAAGGAGGCTGGCTGTGACTCCCAGCCAGGAGTGGGAGTCAGGGCCGCCGGCTACATAGCCGCAAACATGCCCTGGCCTGTGTTCCTAAGCCCCCCCACTCCCGCCGGGGTGCCCGGGGTTCCGGCGAGTGGCGGTTCAGTCCGTGGCCTTTAGGACCCAGCACCATAGACTGGTGTTGACCAGTGTTTGGACAATGGCTCAGCCAGGGCAGAACCGTGGCGCAAAGGGCTGGGGCAATCGCTCGGGTGAATGGGCCAATGCCCCCCCACGAGCTGCCCATGGGGGGTGAGCCCGGGAGCTCCGGAGCCAGGCGCCCGCAGACAGGAGCAGACTCGTCCTGTTCTGGGCCATGTCGTTCTCAGCCCACCCTCCTCACGCTGCTCCCCGGGCACCTTCCGGTCATGCGCTGAGGGTGTGGCTGCCCGGGGGTTCGATCTCTCCCCAGGGGCTGAAGTGGGCGTGCAACGGGGTGGGTTGTTTTGGTAGGGCTGGGGTTTGTAAGCACTCTGGGTGGAGGCCGTGGGATTTCCCAGCTGGCTGCACAGGGGCGTCCTGGACGTTCTGGGAGAGGAGCCAGAACTGGCTGGAGTCCGGCAGAGGGCCATGGGCCTCACTTGCTAGGTCCCCAGTGGCCGGGCCACTGTCTGGGCCAGGCCCAAGCCAGCTAGGTGTCACCTCCACCTGGGAACCATCTCGGGGTTCTTTCTGCCAACACCCCACCACACACCTAGTTACCCAGGCAGGGCATCGGGGAAACTGAGGCCCACACACAAGTCCCACAAAATATTATGAAAAGTTCCACTTCGTCACAGCGGGGTCGGCCAAGCTGTTCCTCTTCAGTCACCCCCCTCTCCATTAGCAAGGGTCAGAGGTCAGGAACCGCACCAGGCCACCCCACTGGAACGGCACAGCGAGAGCCCCCTGCCCCACCCCCTTTAGTACATCTTGGGGTGGGGGAGCTTTGAAACCCCTCATTTCCCCCAGTCACAGTGCACCCATCCCTGCTGGTGCTGCCTGGCCTCCCGCTCTGCCAACCACCCAGTCCAGTGCACGGGGCTCGTGGCTGCATCTGGGAGCAGCGGCAAGGCCTAGTGGTTAAAGTGAGTGGCTGGGGTTTGTAAGGTGCTTTGAGAGCCCTGCCTGGAGGCTGCACTGGGTGGCAGCTCCGGGTCCCCTCAGCACTGCTGGCTGGTTCCCTGGTGTAGTTTACACCACTGGATCCTCTGCCCAGGGGCCCCGGTGGGAGGGATTTAACTGGGAATTGGTCCTGCTTCGAGCAGGGGGTTGGACTAGATGACCTTCTGGGGTCCCTTCCAACCCTTATATTCTATGATTCTATGAGGCCCAAAGGCAGCAGCACCCTCGCAAGCAGGGCCAGGGGCCACTGCCTCGCCCGGGGCTGGGGATTGAACGGTTTGCCTGGAAGTGGGAGCCATGTTAGTGCAGCTGCGCCGGGTCTGGTTGCTGGCTCCCGCCGGCTGGGCCCGCCAGGGTCCATGTCGGCCTCAGAGCAGCCCACCCCCTGCATGGCTAACCGGTTTGCAATGCTGACGTGGAGCGAAACCCCCCCAAGTCCGAAGGCCAGAGCCTCCGAGTGCCTAACTCCCATTGGAATTGATACCTTAAACACCCTGAAATACAGGCCCCAGTGCTCACGTGGCTTCTTAACCCCAGGGGCACGGGACACACCCCCTGCCTGCCCCGAGCCTGAGAACAATAACTAACCCCCCAGAAACAGCCAGCCAGGTGGGGAGGGTATTAACAGTGAGCAAAGGTGGGGGGCAGGGGAGTTCTTCCTCCAGCGGGGACCTGGGGGCACGGCAGGGGTGGGTGGAACCTGGAGTCAGCTTGGCATGCTGGGATTTCCTCGGAGCGCTCTTGGCTTCCCCGGGACTGGGGTCGGCTCCAGACTGAGCTGATCAGGGCATGTCCCAGATTCAAACTCTGTCCCTTTATTTACATTGGCCCATCACATTGCATCTGCTCTACACTGCATCCCACATTCCTCCGTTGGCTTGATCGCCTGGGAGGAACCGGTCCCTGGGCAGCCCACGCGCGACTCCTTTCAGCCTCCTCTTTCCCTGTCCGTTGTCCTCTGGCTCTTTGTGATGGTTCCCGAGATCCAGGCTGGTGCTTAGTTCACTGACCCCTTAACCTGCCTCAGTGGGCACAACTGTTTCCAGGTTGCGGCTGTGTTCACCACCCTGCCCCTGTCTTCCACAAAATGCAGCCTCCCCCAGGTTCAGTTCCCCATGTCACGCCCAATGGCCTACACCATGGCACTCCCCCGGATCCACCTGGCAGAGGGGCCCCGGCGAGGGGCTGGGGGCTCCCCCTTCTGCCAGCCTCCCCACAGTGCTGAGTCAGACTGGAACAGTGTGTATCGGAGCCGTGGGGATCTCCTGGCGGCGCTCGGTGTGGGAGGGGGAGTCACGGTGGTTTCTCTGCTCTGCCCCCACAGTCTGTCTCTGTCTCCTGCAGCTGTGCGTCGAGTTCCTCACGGGCGCGCTGAGCGTGGAGCTGGTCTGCGAGGCGCTGCAGGTGAGTCCCCTCCCTCCCCTTCTGATGGCTCTGTTCCCAGGAGCTGGCTGGGGCGGGGGCCCGTGACTGGGATTCCTCCTCTGCTGCTCACACGCACAGTCCCGGACACGTGAGCGGCTCTCTGCCCACGTGCCATGCCCCGATCCCTGCCAGCTGTGCCCCTCGACAGACAGGGCACATGGCCAGGGGCCGGGTGTTGGTGGCGAGGAGTGGGTTGGCCTCTCCCCTGAAGGATCCACCAGCAGGATCTGGCCCCAGTGTGCGCCCTGCCAGAGGAGGGGGAGGCCAGGCATCTTGGGAGGGCTGGAGTGCAGCAGCCCCTCTCCAAGCCCCGGCTTCGATCCACCCTGCGCTGTCCCAGGAGGGAGCGCAGGCCCCATTCAGCCCCCCAGGGGGCCTATTGTGCGGGGGGCTCTTTGTACCTGGACACCTGCCCCTAAGGAAGTGAACTGAGCCCTGCTGGCACAAAGGAGCCCAGCCAGGCAGCTGCAGCGTGCAGACAGGCCCCGCGGCCCCTGCACCAGCTGGCCCTTTGTCTGCCGCGCCGGGGTTTTGGTGGAGGGGGGTCGTCTGCGCCTGTGCCCCCGTGGATAGGCTTTGAGCCCTGGCTGGTTGTTTCCCATGGCAGCTGGCCCCCTTGGGAGGAAGTGTGGCCTAGTGGTCAGGTCGTGGACCTGGCAGAGGAGTTAGCGGGGTGGGCTGGTATCGGCCAGGCCTGCGGCATGCGATGCCGAGTGGGGCATTGTTCTGTGCAGCCAGCTCCTTCCCCTCAGGCTCTGGGGGCTGGGCCCCTTTGATCGGACAAAAGGCCCGGGCTGACTTTGTCTCCTTTGCCCTGATTTGTCCTCGGCAGCGGCTGCTGACTGGCACAATCCCAAGCGCTGGCTGGGGGATGGGGCTAGAGCCATCGCTCTGGGTGGGACACAGGCACGGTGGGCAGCAGGGATCCCAGGAGGACTTGGGTAGCTCCCCCTGCCATGTGCCAGGTGCTTTGCAGGCCAGTTGGCGACCACGTCCCAGCCCCACAGAGCCAGCGTTGTGGATACATCGCCGGCGTGGTGGTGGAGGACCTCTGGGGGAAATCAAGGCCGGGATCCACGCTGCCTGTGCGATCGGGTGCTGTGGGACGAGCACAGTGTGGAAACCTGGCTGGAGGAGAAGGCAGAGCCCAGCCCCTCAGTGCCAGGATGGAGCAGCCGGACAGCCCTGGGGCAGGCCTGGCCGAGGAGCAGGCTGCCCCGGGGAGTGGATCAGTGCCTAGCTCTGGGCTCTCAGATGTGGCTGTGGCATCCTTTTGCCTCTGCCCTGCCTCATGGGGGCGACAGCGAGTCTGTGCCGGCTGTGGACCGAGGGGCTGAGAATCTCAGGGGCTTGGGGCCGGATTCAGAGCTCACTGGAGTCGAACAGCCTTTGCACCAGGCCTTCTGATGCCAGGCACAAGCCCTGGGCAGCCGGAATAGCCGGATGCAGAGCTCTGCCCCGGGCAGAAGCTCTGGGGACTGCAGGGGGCGGCTTAGGCCCGATTCTGCCCTCACAAAGCCGGGGTAAGTCAGGCGTGGCCCTTGAAGCCAGTGGAGTTGCCCCGGATCAGAGCCGAGCCCTGGAGGCTCAGTGTGCAGATGCAATGTTACCTGCCCTGGGGGTGTGAGGCTTGCCACTCCTGGCCTGTAGGTCAGCGTGGCACTGGGGGTGGGGGTCAAGGACTGGCCCAGACCGCAGGGCTGAGGGCCCAGACCGCAGGGCTGAGGGCCCAGACCGCAGGGCTGAGGGCCCAGACCGCAGGGCTGAGGGCCCAGACCGCAGGGCCGAGGGAGCTTGCTGGCACAGTGACCAAGTTCCCCACCAGGCCCATTCCCACACAGTCAGTCCTCTGGGCCTGAGCTCTTGTGTGGTGCGGGGCTCTGAGCAGGCGTCGGGGCGGGGTTTCTGCTGCTGAGCACCCGGACCCAGCATGGCCTGTGGCTCTCCACGCTCCTGTTCTCCCCGGGAGAGGCCAGTGCCCGCCCCGCAGCCCGTTGTCCTCGCTGGTTGTGCCTGAGGCCCAAGGAGAATCTGGGCCCCTCCTGGCTTAGCCTGGCCACTCGTAAGCCCGGGGGCAGTCTCTCCACGGCAGGCGACGGCGCGTCGGGGTGATGCACAGGCCCCTGGGGCTCCCTGGCTCTTTGAGCCGCTGTCCACCTCGTCCCCGCTGCCCAGCCTGCTCGCTCAGGGCACAGGAGAACAGCGGGAATTGGCTCGGAGGCTGCCCTGGGGTGGGTGTCTGTGAACCTCGCAGCCGCGCATGGGGAGACTTGTGCAGCCCAGACGCCGGGGGGAGAACACTACTGAGGTGGCAGCATCCGGCGCGCAGAAGCTAGGAGGCACCGGGATGAATTGCCGCAGCAATTCGAATTCAGCCCCTGGCCTGAGGCCGCTGCCTGGCTCAGGGCACAGACAGACAGTGCTCACGTACAACCCCGCCTGCGATAGCCAGACAGCACTGATTGGATCCCAGCTGCTCCCGAAGGCCTTGCTCCAGATCGGGCTCCCTTGTGCAGGGAGGGGGGCCCTGCCCACAGAGTTTATAATCTCTGGTGCTGAGCGCTCCAGCCTTGGCTGAGTCCCACACGGGCCAGGCTGTTAAACTAACTGGCTGGGCACCGGCACAGAGGTAGCAAACCCTGAGCAGGAGCCAGGGCCAGATTTTTTCAAGTGCTCAGCACCCGAAACTGGAGCAGATTTCCCCAAGAGCCAAGCGTGCAGTGTGGTGCAATGCCTGGGAGCCGCAGCCCACGCCACCTCAGTGCGGTGCTCGGAGCAGAACAACGAGCTGGCCAGACTGGAGATGCCCCAGAAGTGTTGAGCTGTGTCTGGACCAGCGGAGAGGCCCTGCAAGTCGATCACCCCGCGCTGGGCTCTCCATTGGCCTGGGTGGCGTGGTGGGGAGCTCAGTGACAGGTCTCAGCGCAGTCAGCAGCAGCCCACCATGCTGGCAGGGCACGGGAAGAGCAAGCCAGAGCACAGCAGCGGGGGCAGCCTGCCCTGGGCCCGGTGGTCAGCTCCGGCCGCCTGTCTTGGATCACAGGGAGCAGAGGCACGGTGGATGCAACCAAGGACCAGCGACAAAATATTGCTCAGGCTTGCAGGAGTGAAATCAGGAAGGCCAAATCACACCTGGAGTTGCAGCTAGCAAGGGATGTTAAGAGTAACAAGAAGGGTTTCTTCAGGTATGTTAGCAACAAGAAGAAGGTCAAGGAAAGTGTGGGCCCCTTACTGAATGAGGGAGGCAACCTAGTGACAGAGGATGTGGAAAAAGCTAATGTACTCAATGCTTTTTTTGCCTCTGTCTTCAAGAACAAGGTCAGCTCCCAGACTGCTGCGCTGGGCAGCACATCATGGGGAGGAGGTGACCAGCCCTCTGGAGAAAGAAGTGGTCGGGACTATTTAGAAAAGCTGGATGTGCAAAAGTCCATGGGGCTGGATGCGCTGCATCCGAGAGTGCTGAAGGAGTTGGCGGATGTGATTGCAGAGCCATTGGCCATTATCTTTTGAAAACTCATGGCGATCGGGGGAGGTCCCAGATGACTGGAGAGAGGCTAATGTAGTGCCAATCTTTAAAAAAGGGAAGATGGAGAATCTGGGGAACTACAGGCCAGTCAACCTCACCTCAGTCCCTGGAAAAATCATGGAGCAGGTCCTCAAAGAATCAATCCTGAAGCACTTGCATGAGAGGAAAGTGATCAGGAACAGCCAGCATGGATTCACCAAGGGAAGGTCATGCCTGACTAATCTAATCACCTTCTATGATGAGATAACTGGCTCTGTGGATGAGGGGAAAGCAGTGGACGTGTTGTTCCTTGACTTTAGCAAAACTTTTGATACGTCTCCCACAGTATTCTTGCCAGCAAGTTAAAGAAGTATGGGCTGGATGAATGGACTATAAGGTGGATAGAAAGCTGGCTAGATCATTGGGCTCAACGGGTAGTGATCAATGGCTCCATGTCTAGTTGGCAGCCGGTATCAAGTGAAGTGCCCCAAGAGTCGGTCCTGGGGCCAGTTTTGTTCAATATCTTCATTAATAGAATAATGATCTGGAGGATGGTGTGGATTGCACCCTCAGCAAGTTTGCAGATGACACTAACCTGGGAGGAGAGGTAGATACGCTGGAGGGAAGGGATAGGATACCGAGGGACCTAGACAAATTGGAGGATTGGGCCAAAAGAAATCTGATGAGGTTCAACAAGGACAAGTGCAGAGTCCTGCACTTAGGATGGAAGAATCCCATGCATGGCTACAGACTAGGGACCAAATGGCTCAGCAGCAGTTCTGCAGAAAATGACCTAGGGGTTACAGTGGACGAGAAGTTGGATATGAGTCAACAGTGTGCCCTTGTTGCCAAGAAGGCTGTAACGAAGTGGGACTGTTCTTAATGTTTCCTCTGAATAGTGTGGGAGTGCCTCAGTTTCCCCTAGGCAGTTCTTAAGTATCTAGGGGGTGGGGTAAGGGTGTATGATCATTGCAGAGCCCTAGAGGGCATGTGTGTGCAGGAGTCTGGACACAGAGAAAGGCCGACACCCTGTTTCCTGGCAACTGATGGCCTGGGCCCTTCCCCCTTGCAAGGTGAGAGCTAAAGGGTTGGAGAACAAAGGAATCAGGTGACCTCCTGGCCCCGGAAAGGGACAAAGCCCAGAGGAGGAGGGGCTGGAGGGAGTTTCAGTTGGGGGCTGGCTGGGACATGGAGTGAAGGGCAGACGTGGTTGTCTGGCTCACTGGCCCCCAAAATGGACCCAGCTGAGGGGTCCTGTTCTCTGCACCTGCAAGCTCTGTTTTGGACCATGTTCCTGTCGTCTTATAAACCTCTGTTTTACTGGCTGGCTGAGAGTCCCATCTGACTGTGAAGTTGGGGTGCAGGACTCTCTGGCTTCCCCAGGAGCCCTGCCTGAGCAGACTCGCTGGGGGAAGCACACGGAGGGGCAGAGGATGCTGAATGCTCTGAGGTCAGACCCAGGAAGGTGGAAGCT